TTTCTGCCGCGAATTTATCGTCAAATAATGCTACGCAAAGCTTGCTGCCAATTTGATATCAATTTGTATAAATACATTTGAGTAATAGGGGGAGTTCTAACTCGTGAACTCCAAGGGGAATGCGAGGCACTGGGGATTCTTCGGAGGTGGAGGTATGACATTATTCAGAGATAGTAGTAAGACATCATAGATTTTGGGAACTCACGTACAAGACAATAAAAACATCACAAAAAGAGGGAATATTGCTATGAACAAAAATAATAAATGATTATAAACGAAAAATGTTACAAAGAGTATTCGCTGTTATATGCTCCAACTGTTTTTCAGCTAAGATATGGTGTAACATAATTTTTTCTAGAAACAATATTTATTATTTTAAATAAATACGACCAAGTTTCATAATTAATCGATTGAGTACCAACTAGCTATCAACGAGTAGCTATTCGAGCCATTGAGTACCAATGAGTAGCTGCTCGAAATCAATGATATTGAAACGCAATGTCTCCTTGCCTTGATAAAAGAGCTTCGATTATTTATTCTTTTTTGGGAGGGGACATAATAATCGAACATGCTTTTTGCAATATGTTTCAAGGTTAGTAGAAGTGTAAATGTAAGTGAAACTCGAGAATTGTATTTTCATAAATTTTTATAAGGGTAGAAGCATGTCTAAGATAAGTAATGTAAAGATTGGTTGCAATAGAAATGATTGATATTTTGAGCGCCCGACATCTGGTTGCTATTAAAAATCAGTAATTGTGTTTTTATACGTGTATGAGATAAAAGGAATTAAAACACTTTAAATGAAACATTTTAAGTGAAACTCTAGAATTTAACATTTCTTAGTTCTCTTCAAGTTTATGAGGATATAATTTTGAAGCATTCCTAAAAAAAAATTAGAAAAAATGATATCTACTCCAGTTGAAGAGAAGAGTTACAGTATGAATTACAGTATGAATTTAGGTCTAGAAATGTACGGTCTAGAAGTGTACGGTCCAGAAGCGAGCTTACTTAAAATCGTATTATCCCAGACAGCACATGCTAACATTCAATGCTATATTCATAATGAATATACTGTGATTATAACGAATAAACCAGAAACGTTAATGTGACGTCTTAGTAAAATATTATTTCTTGTATATTATCAAGATATATCAAATAATAACTAAACTCCGATTCTGATGCTGAATATCCTGCTATCATATCAATTATTATATATCCAAGACGTCTCTAAATTATTCTTGCGGTATATTTCGTGTCTGTCATGTATATTGGGTCATCTAAAAAGTATCCGCGGTACTTTGTCACTAGATATATGACCATCAACACACATCTAGTGACAAAAAAACCGCGGATACTTTTTAGATGACTCAATATTTTCAGAACAAACTCACAACATAAAATGCAGAACCAATGCTGCCTGTATTTCATCTGGGCTATAAGCACTTATAATTCAGAAAAGATCTTCCATTTTTTTTTATCTTTTCTATAGTAATAATTTATTGTTACAGAAATTATTTTTTCCAAAATTCATATTTTATGACTGTGTTGATAAAAAAATTTGGAAAAAATCTTGGTAGCTTCTTCCGATAAGTATTATAATATATCAAAATTTCAGTCAAATCAAAAATCCAAAAGTTCACGAGTGACACACTTGGGATGTAATACCCCATATATACAGTGTCCCGCGAGACTTCTCCAACTGCCTAGAGAAAGGTAGACGGGAAATAAACATAAAAGTCCTTTACCATTTAGCGATATAGCGTAATAACAATCGAGATATTAATGTTTGCAATTGTACTAATAAGAGCGCGCCGATAGAAATGCTCCGGCAGCAATGTATGCTATCGATTTCGTCAGATCGCCGTCTGATTCTGTGTCGCCACCGTCAACGCAGAGTTCTTGGCTGAGTACTCAGGAACCTTAAATTCGTGATTTTTTATTATATTATGCTGTACGCATACTTTTAATGTTAAAATATCTTATACATTGTCGAAAAATTACAATTTTTCTTTACAGTTTTATCTCTATTGATAATCAAACTCGGATAATAACATTAAAATCACAATTTTTTAAATAACAAAATCGAGTATTATTATGTTTTAAACATATATATTGGGATCTTAAAATCGTCTGTATTACCAACTAAATCATATAATTTTTGTATAACAAATATTTTTTTCTCCTTCACAGATTCGAAAATCCTTTTCCAGGATTAAAGTATACGCATTAATACGTGTTTGTGAGATGGAGTTCATACTGAGAACGACCAAAAATTTCGAAATTGATATTTTTTACCATTTCTTAATGTAACATGGTGTCTCAAGTTGTCGAGTCGTGACAACATTTACATACGAAAGTTTTGCAACTTGTACTTACAAAATAGTAATCCATAAACACGAAGTTTATACGAACAAATAACGTCGAGTTCTTAGAATTAGATTTAGACGCTTTATCGCAACGAATTTGTTATATGAAAATTGACACGAACATGCGATTGCGTGTATCATAGGTTGTGTGAAATATTGATGTGATAATATATAAAAAGACATGTCGATGCGCTTGAAAAACAGTGATCTCTGGTCACATCGTCGGAGTTCGAGCTTCGCTTTAGAATCCCCTTAATCACTTAAATTTTAACAGGCACGTGAACTACCATAAGCGCCGACCATCTTTAGTAATATCTCATCGGTGACAACAATCAACAAAAAAAAAAAAGAAGAAAGGCGGCAATCATGACGGTTAGTAAATGTGAATAAACGAGAGCAATTTTTATAGGTGTAGTACCACGTTTGTCAAGATAGTGACGCCAAAGCGTACATTTTTTCGCTTCAGTCTGAGTTAATTATTATCTTAAAATAATTTTCGCCACTTTAATTTTGGCCGTATTGATCCCTTTTTTATTTTTCTGAGGGCACATGTCACTCATTAAAGAAGAATAAGAATTATTAGCCATTTCCGATAAAACTAAAACATGGCATCCTTCTGGTTTTGTATCTCGACTCTCACTAGAGTGACTCTAGTTGTGGTACTTTATAAATCTAGTGATTTTATACTCCGCAGTTGAGTCTGCTGAACGCAACCAATGATATTGTGAAGGAAAATTAAATAACTACGATTACTTTGAATGAAAATCAATCTTTGAATGACTTGTGATTCTTTTAAAAGGAATTAAGAGTTACCGCAGACAAAATTCCGTAAGGTATGCATAAGGCATAAATTTAAGCCGATAAGCCAATCAAGATACTGCTTTAGATCTACATAATCTGACGGAAATAAAAACAGCAGTAAATTTATCCGTAAGACAAATTTCAACCGGTTGAAATTTGCTTTATGGATAAGTTTATTGCTATTTCTATTTCCGTTAGAGTACGTAGATCTAAAGCAGTATCCTGATTGGCTCATCGGCTTAAGTTCATGTCTTAAACTTACTGTTATTAAAATTTTGTCTACGGCAGTCCTGAGGAGCCTCGCACACACTTTCCGTAACAGTAACTATAAGTACTATAAGAATCAGTCAATCACAGTCGAAAATTCTTTTAAACTCTTAATTCTAATTGGCTGATTCTTATGATACGTCTTGGTTACTGTTACAGAAGATGTGTGTGGACCTCCTAAGGCTATTGCACGTACAAGTTGTAATCGTAATCATAAGACTATACAAAGCGATGAAATGATTGACTACTGCGTTGGGGCCAAGCATTATTGCGTTTTCTACAGAAACACGAATGAAATGTCAAAGTCACAATTAAGATGCAGACATAGAAGGAATAAAGATTTCAACCTATCAGATACCGGAATATATGGTTTCTGATAGGAATCTTGTTCCCTAATTCCTTATTCCTTTTTATTGTGACCGTACCATCATAGATGCAAGTTTTCGTCCCGTCGAAAAATTGGGATTAACGCCTTATCTTTATGATCGACCAATCAGAAGACATACAAGAACAGTCACATGACATACCGTTTGCCTCGTAGCCAATTAATTTATCGCTTTCTGGTCTTACGATTACGAATTTTACGTGCAATGGCCTTTAAAGATACTTTGGAATAGGAAGGTCCTTCAATAGGAATACATACTTAAGTTTCATTATATAAAAATTAAAAATAGCATCACTTGGATTATATGTTTTATTTAATTTGGTATAGAATTTAATTTGGCGCCAGTTGTGGATATCAAATCTTTTATACAAATGATACATACCATTAAAGTTAAGTAAATAATAAAAATAATACCACTTAGGTTTTACTTTTCAATTTGTTACAATAAAAGTACCATTTGGATTTTATAATTTGATAAAATAATTTTTTTTCATGAGCATGTATTCTTAGCGTTTTTTTTTCTACCTCTTTCATTAATAACAACATAGTCACACAAATGCATTTTTAAGTAAACAAATTTTTAATTGTAAATAGAATTTATTAAATATTGTATCGTTACATTCGATTGAAGACTATCTATTATCTAATTAATTAATTGTTTTAACACATAGTTCAATATTGTATTATCAAGTAAAACAAGTTGTACCTTATTTTTTATTAAATTATTAGTTTTGTGTATTGATTTCTGAGGTTGCATAAAAAATAAACATAATTCTATTTTATAAGATAATACTAGTAATGTTAATTACATTTTTTACTTATTTTAATATAAAGACACATATAATACGTTTTAAAATACACACATAGGCACGTACGTACGCGCGCGCGCGCGCGCGCGCACACACACACACACACACACACACATTCACACACACACGCACATTCACACACACACGCACGCGCGCGCGCGCGCGCGCATACATATGACTAAATAAATTACTTCATTTAGTCATTTAAAAAAAAAAACAACACCATTTATGAATAAAACCTAAATGAAATCTTTTTATACAGATACATAAAACACATAGTTTCATAAATATTATTTTATATCTTGCATATCTTTCTATACTTTTGTGTTTTATATAAGTGTGTATATGTATATATGGACACACACATGTATTTATGTATATTATAGAAAATAATAAAACTATTTTATTAATAAGCTCTTATCTCTGTTCATTCATATTTTACTCTACATGATGCAATGTATGACTTTTTAGTGGACAAATCAAACCATCCTACTGGACCTCTCTCACAATCGGCACAAGCTAGGTACTTGACATTGCCTACTGTGTGTGACAAACCAATATTTTCGAAAGTATATATATCTTCTATTAACCAGTAAGCAGAAATTGTTTCTGATTGATTAGCTTTGTCCTCTGCTTTGCTATGGATATAAGGTAATGCAAACTGCAATAAAAATGTTTATATTTATTATATTGTTTAACAAAAAAAAAATACCAGAATGAAACTAGTCATTTCCTATAATTTTTTAAATATTGAATACGAATTCGATCTCCAAATTGTCTAACGCGTCAAAATTTTGATAAATTTATATTTAAAGTTGCAAAAGAACTATTTTAATATGTTTTGTCATATTATAATTATGATATATGTAACATACTAGAAAAATTTATTACAATTAAAATGAAACTTGTTGTTAGGACTTTCAATCCTCAAAAAGATTTGTTAATGTCAACTATGGTTAATAAGATATTCATTGTTAAATATAGGGTTTGTTATAGGAAAGTGAATTATATTAGGTCATTGACGATTTATCAAATATATTTTCCAATTATGTTTAGTTAAACATAATTTTTTTGGATCGTTCAAAATCATGACACCTATACATTTTGCAACAATTCAGAAGTTTTTCAAGTTTTAACATCAGCCATATTGAATTGATCGTTTTGAATTTGTGAATTTTGACATTGGATTTGTAACGATCTGAAAAATGCTTAAGTTTAAATGAATATAGAAAAATGAATTGAAAACTATTTCTGAAATCACATCAATACTTAATTCACAGTTTTTCCGTATAGATCCAATATTAAACTATGACTATGTTATTAACCTATGTAGCCGACATTAAAAAATCCTTTTGAGAACTGAAAGTCTTAACAACATACTTAATTTTAATTGCAAAAAAACTTCTTCAAAATGTCATACATTGCAGTTATAATATACTAAAATACATAAACATCACCTTTTTTGCAAACTGAATTACAAAATATGATAAAAAATTTGAAAAACGCATTCATATTCAGCATTTAAAAATTATAAAAAATGACTAATCTTTTTTCGGTATTAGAAAAAAATCTTGTGTCAAACAGTGTTATCACTGAAACAATTATTATATTAATCTCTTACAATGTAACAATGTTTTAAACAAATTTAAAAACTGTACAATTTCAAAACTTATAACACATTAAATTAGAATTACCAATCATATTCCTTTAAAGCGTTGTCTACAATGAACAGTAGCAGTAGAGGTTGTAGACACGTCGGGAGTAAACTGGTACTCTGGCTCAGTCAAAAATGGTTGACCTGGTTGATCAACGTCAAATCGATGCTAATTCAATGTCGCTCAACGTCAAATCGATGTTAATTCAATGTCAATCGACGTTAATTCGATATTGATCGATCAATAACTTATAGCTGGGGATGCAATAGGACGTAGACTAATAGATTTCAATCATTTGGCTTATGGACTTACTATATGCCCTATTACATCCCCAGCTACAAGTGATTAATCGATCAATATCGAATTAACACGTCGATCGACGTGTAATTAACACAATTTGATGTCGAACGACGCTGAATCAGCATCAGATTTGATCCATTAACTATTTCTTACTGGGCCGAAAAATCAGTTTATTCTCGACGTGTCTATAGCCTCTACGGCTGGTGTACATTGTAGACGACGCTTGAAAGTACATATAATTTATTTGAGGTCCAAAAACAATGCATTCTTACTTTCTATTTATTGTACTCTTTTTTTGAGAAATGTGAAACAAAATTTAAAACTATTAGTTAATAAATTTATTATTTTAAATTAAATTAATTATTTTTATAAAAAGTTATGCTTAGCTTATACTAAGACTGTGTTCGCTTTGGACAATATACATATAATGTACAGAACATTTTCCACGTGAAAGGAATCCACCTAAAAATAAACTGTTTGGGATCTTTAAAATAATCATGAAAACATATAAATGGACACATTGTATAATGTTAAAGATTAAAAAAAATAAATATTATATGCCTTTCACTCAAAATATTGGAGATAATCGTTTAAAAAAGTTCTCTTTTTGTTGTCATTTGTAGTTAAAATTACAAAATATATAAAATTTTTATACACTAGAACAAATTGTACATGTATACGTTTCGGTTTGCGTCAAACCATCTTCAGCAAGTTGTGAACAATTTCGTCGATATTTTATAAAAAATATCATCGATAAAATTGTTCACAACTTGCTGAAGATAGTTTGAAGCAAATCGAAACGTATAAGGAAATTTTTGTATTCACGGAAGAAGCAAATGCGATCAGAGATAAAAACTGAAACCAGTTCAGTCAAATTGCTTGTATTGTATGTAATACAATATAATCAGTAATTGAAATACAATATAATTGCTTCTTGCGAATTAAATTGACTTATTGTTTCAATTACTGATCCTGATTTATCAATCGCAGTTGAGAATGTGTACTGGTACATTTTTACTTAATGACTCACCATGTTCAATTTTATCATTATGGATTTATTGCAACTGTTATAAGAAGAATATAACCGATAATATTACCAATTTAACTTGGGACTCGCAACGAGCTAAGCTCATTGTTTAGCATAATGATATTGATCGACTTTTCTACGATATTCATTATTATAGAGAATATATCGGCAACACAATCTGTTCGAATTTTTAAACTGTGTATTTATGTCTGCATGCGTGCTTCCTGAGATATCTTTCATTTTAAATACAATTTATATATATAATTTTTTTATTCTGGTGGTTTTATAAATGTATGATTTTAAGGTCTCGATCCTTATGAGACCATCCAGCTTATCAACTGGTCATGGATAATAATTGGGAGATAACCGAAGATTTCCACGTATGCAGTTGGTTTTCTTTGGAAACGACGTCAAGCTGAAGAAGGCTAGAATTTAGCCGAAACGTACTTGTATTCAATTATGGTTAAATATTTTAAATATACTGAGGTTCGTTCCAATAATTTAAGCGCATCGATTACAGCGTAGATTCTTAATTGCCCTATATTAATTTAATGTTATCAATTAAGTTGTTTTTAGAAGGAATCTTGTTACGGTTATTCATTGTACACAGTATGAAAATTGTCCTTTTAATTATTTTTAATGTTTTCATATTATTATTATTTCTATTACACTAAAAAGTAATTTTACAAAAAAAAGAGGGATATATGAACATGTATGGACATACTTCATAGATGATTATACATAGATGATTATACATGTTTATATATGAATATTTATGTATGTTATGTATGTTTATATATATATATATATATTTATGCATAAAACATTTTTTACCGGGATGTCGTTTACTTTTCATGAAAATCACAAATAACTGAAAATAAAATACAACACAAAGATATAAATACTAACATTTATTCCGTGTAACATTTCGTACTACTTTTCCTTCATTTGCTTGTCCTCTTTATTGTTTCTTCTTTTCCTCTTTTTTGCTTTACTTTTCTTTTTTTTCTTTTCATTTCTTTCCATGCAATGAGCCCTTCCTTTTCATGAAAACTACTAATGATTGAAAATATAATACAATACAAAAATACTAATATGAACACTAATATTTTGTTGCATATAATATTGTGCTTCTTTTCATTCATTTTTTCCTTTTTTTTTTACTTACCTTCTCTTTTTTTCCTTTCTTTCTTTTCGTTTCCTTTTCCTTCCTTTATGTGTTCTCCTTTCTATGAATTCTTTCCTTTTCATATAAGCCAATAATAACTAAGAATAAAATAATACAAATAAATACTGAGATAAATATTATTACATTTTGGTATATAACATTATATTTCCTTTCAGCTCTTTTTCTTCTTTTTTTGCTCTTCTTTTTCCATCTTTTGTTTCCTTTTTTTAAATCCCTTTTTTATGAGTTTTTTTTCCTTTCCTTTTTCTATTTCAATTCTTTCATTTCCATAAATTCTTTATACACGCAAATATAATTTAAATACTAATATTTTGCTCCACATAATGCTTTCTTTCAGATTTCTTTTCTTTCATTTTATTTTCTTCCTTATTCTTTCTCCTTTTCGTTTTCGTTATTTCTTTCTTTTTCTTTTTTTTTAGTCTTCTCCTTTCTATGAATCCTTTCTTTTCAATAAAGCTAATAATAAACTGAGAATGAATGACTATTCATAGATATTATATGTATATAAATATATAGATATATAGAAATCTGGATGAATTTAGAAATCTATCATGGCTTTTTAAATTTCTATATATTATACTTCCTTTCATATCTCTTTTCTTTCATTTTCCTTTTTTCTTTTTTCTCTTTCTTTTCTTTTTCCTTGCTTTTCCTTTCCCTTCCTTTTCCTCTTCCTCTCTTTTCTATGAATCCTTTTCGTGAAAAATATTAATAAGAAAAAATATAATCGAGAGATACTAATATTTTATTCTATTATACATAACGTCATGTTTTCTTTTACATCTCTTTTCCTTTCTTTTTTTCTTCCTTTTTTTTATATTTTTTGAAATTCCTTTTCTTCGTCTTTTCCTTTCTTTTCGGTCTTTTCTTCTTTTAAGGCCTTTCTTTTTCATGAAAAAGATTCAAATAATAACTGAAAATAAAATATAACTCCAAGATATTCATATAAATATAAATATTTTGTTCCATATAACGTTATGCCTTTTTTCATCTCTTTTCCTTCATTTTTGCCTTTCCTTCTTTCCTTTCTCTCCTTCTTCTTTTCTTTTTTTTCAGGATGAATTATCAATTTAAATAAAACACATAACTGTTTAAAAAAAAAACTATGTATGCAAAATTGGGTACATAAAGAACAGTATTCTCAATTTTTATATTAAATAAAGAGAGTAAGAAAGAATATATAAAAGTACATAAAAATATTAAAATAATAAAATAAAAATAAAGAAATAACGTACAAGATAAATTAATTACAAGTAAAGAAACTCATACAACTCTCTCTCCCTCCTCTCACTCTTCGTCTTTTTCTCATTCTCTCTCTCTCTTTCTCTCTCTCTCTCTCTCTCTCTCTCTCGTAGCTTATTTCCTTTTCACTAAAAATATAAAAATATATATACTATATAAAAAAGTACAAATTTTATCATGATTTTTCTTTCCTACTTTTTTCTTTTTTTCTTGTCTTTCTCTCGTTTTTTTGTCCTTTTCTCTCTCTCTCTCTCTCTCTCTCTCTCTCTCTCCTGAATTCTGTCTTTCTCCTATCTCTATTCTCTTGTGTTACATCTTTCGTTTTAATCTCTCTGGTCTCATTTCTCTCTGATCATCTCATCTCTCTTTCGTTTCATCTCTGGTCTCCTTTCATTCTCACTGTCATCTTTATCTCTTTTGTTTTCTTCTTGTCACTTTCATCTCGCGTCTTTTTCTCATTTCCAATGTTTTATCTTGCTTGTCATCTCTTTCTTGTCGTTAATAAAAAATAAATAGTTTACAAGATATTTTATATAAAAAATGTACATTTTTTTAAATTGATTTTTACCAAGATTTTTTTAAAATGAAACACCCTAATTTTGAGATTCCAGAATCTAATAGCCTTTCCAAAACATTATAATAAAGTTTTTTATTGAGTACTTTTCGAGTTAGTCAAAAGTAACAGTATCACCGCCATTAGCATTACCCAAGGTGTCCGACCAACGGCTAAAACCTTTTGAATGTTATTCAGGATCATGTCCTGGATAACATTTGTCAAAATCAAGATCATTGGGGATTATTCTTTTCATTTTCATTTTTACACTAAAATTTATTTTTACTATGGCCAAAAAGTGCCATAAAGAGTATATTATTTTATTTATTATAACGTTTTTAAGAATGAAATTACAAAACTTGGATCGTTAGTAGACTTCACAGTTTCGTAAAATATAAGCTGAACAAGTTCCATGGCAAAATATTTCTTCTACGAAACAACATAATAGATAGAGTCTGCTAGAGTGTAGATATGTAACTATACCACAAATGAGATGTAAATGAGTTGGCTTCAATCGAACCTTAACAGTTAATTGCGTGATACAGCACATGGAAAAGATTTCTGTGATGGTATTGGTGGCAATTTAAAACGACACGCAAAAAAAACTAGTTAGCAGGGAAGTGTCATACTTAATGCCAAGACATTTTACATATGAGCCAAAAATAATTTAAAAGAGATTTTTTTATTTAGTCCAAAATCAATTCACGATAAATTATATAAATTTTTGGAACTAAGATTCGCAAAAATTATTCTGGGTTAAAGTATTAAAGATTATTCCTGCGAAAGATCAACTTATTTTTTAAAAATTAAGTTATGAGGAACGAGACCTCTTCCAAAGAAAAAGAAGAAATATTAATAATAAATGGATTCAAAAAAACATAAAAACGCTTATAAGACTCCAGAATTTTTTTCATTTCACAATTATATGTGTATGTTAAAAATATATTATGTATTGAGCAATTAGTTAAATAAATATATTATGTAATATTAAGTAATTAGATTAATTAATAAAGTGATATTATCAAGTTTTTGGTGAAAATTTCAATTTTGTTTAGTAAAAAAATTCATTTACTAGTGAATCCCATAGCGACTCCAAAATTCCTTTATAGCGCATTCTATATATACATTGGAATATTTTTTAAGAATTTTTTCATATTTTTAAAAGTGAATATAATTTTTCATTTATTTACTTAAAGTTAAAAAATTTGATTTTTTTCTAGAATATTTATTTTTCTCATTAAAATTAATTTTTTTATTTGAAGGTACGGGAAAAATCCTAAAAAATTCATATATTAAAAATTCAATATATTTTGTAATTTTAATTATAAAATTTAATTAATTTAATGACAATAAAAAGAGACTTTCTCTAAACGAACTATCTCCAATATCTTGAGTGAAAGGCATATAATACTTATTTGTTTTATCTTTAATGTTATACGTGTCCATTTACATGTTTTCATGATTATTTTGAAGAAGTCTCAAACAGTTTATTTTTGGATGAATTCCTTTCACGTGGAACGTTCTACATATGTTTATCATATAGAGATATTTTGTTTATAGAGATTTTATCTATAATTATAAATATTTGTTGAAATAAATTATAACCTAGTAACAATATTTTGTTGAAAAAACTTGTAGGTTGTAAAAATACATGAATGAATTTTATTTTTTTAATTGTATTAATGTTAACATTAACAAATCTGGTCACTAAGTAAAATGTGAATAAATATATTCATACGTAACTTTATGAAGACTGAATAAAGGTTGTCAATAAAAATTACAATCTAGAAATGTCATTTTATTGAATATCAACATTTAAAATAGAAAAGTTTTTAGTCTTCAATTTTTCTTTTCCTTTTTTTAAAAAATGTATTCTTTTTGTTAATCAATGTACTTTTTTTCGTACGACCAAAAAATGGTAACACTACATTAATACACTATATGCATACAAAATACAATACAACTTTTAGGTTATAAACGTTCGGTACTAAGGCTGCTTTCCTTTTAAGAAACACAGTCAACACAAGCATCGTTCTAGCTCTGTCTCATTCATTGAATGTCAAATAGGATAAAATAATGTTTGTGTCGAGTGTGTCCTCTAAAAGGAAAGCAGCCTATGATAAAAGCATCATAGTGCACTACACAAATATGTATATTAATAATATAGCAGCATCTATAATTAAATTACTAAAACACGCAATAAATAACAATCAAATAGAGTCGTAACATGAGATTTTTTTTCAATATTATCATACTACTACCCTAATAGCAAAGACTGCGGAGACAAATTTTGAGTAGAGCAATTTTTGCTACCAATTTTTGATTGCAGAAAAGCAACAAATTGTATATAGAATTTGTATTATCTGACATTGTCAGCAAATTGTTGTCAGTAATATGACAAAGTTTGCTAGACATGTTGTGCCAGCAGATAGATAGCAAAAATCGAATAACTGACAAGTTCAGCATAACCTAATGTCAGATGAGAGCAGATTGAGAGAGCAGAACTTGATTTGAGCAGACTCTGTTCAGTTTCTGATACTCCAATCTGTTGGTATAGCTTGTCAACAGACTTTGTCGACAAATCTATAGCCAAATGCAGACACAGATGGCTATAGTTTTATAATCAAAATCTGATCAAGTTTGCTGCCAATTTGACCCTAAATTGACTATCAATATCTAACATTTTGCTCAGAGTATATACAGTACAGGGTATATACTTACATCCATGTTTATTAATTTAGCAGCTCCAGCATTGAGTATTTTTGAAGGACAAAACGTACAATAGATTTTATCTTTATTTTTGCCCTCTGTGTCTTTTTTCAATTCAATAATATTCGTCGGCATCACTATTCCATAAATGTAAAATGTCAGAATATATATTCACAGACTAATTATGATTAATTGGCCTATACCTCAGTGTTGTAGATGAGCCCCCTTTTAGCGCATGCGCATTGGAGTATAACATCAATGCTGTACTAATGTCGAACTTACAAAGGTTCTTTAAGGCCCTATTTTGACGTTTCTGTAGAAATTATATCATTTTTTTGTTTTTTTGTTATTATTTATTATTAAAAACCGAAATCAGTCAAAAAAAAGTACATCAATTAATAATATAAGTGACGAGATTATAATATAATATGAAGTTACATAAACTGAAAACGCCAATAATTGGTAACAATAATAATATAACAATAATAACAATAATTAAGATTGTCCACCTAATTTAGTGTTGTATTGTTAATATATGTTAAAGGTGTAAGATTCCTAAATAAAGAGACAGAAATTTATAATAAATATAATATTTTATTTGGCAGAGTTTATAAAGAACATTTGTTGCAAGGGTAAGGAAAACTGCCAAAAACCTTACTAGTATTCAGAAAACAAATTTATATTTTTCTTTATAAATAAAAAAATTAATATTTGATTAAATATGAAAACGTAAAAGTGAAAAAAACAAGTAACACTTATCTAACTATAGGACTCTTTTCTTCATCCACCGTAATGATCGTTATACATTCCTGGATTTCTCCAGCGTTACAGTACGCATGCGCTAAAAGGGGGCTCATCTAACACACTGCTATATCCCCCCTTATGGAATTGTATTTATTAAATTGAGTCGAAATCATCCATGTGTTTCGAACTTCATCTGAGGAGAGACCAGGGCTGGTTTCATTAAAGTATAGTGATTATCATAAGGTCTGTTCGCGTTGTTTGCATTTTTGGCACTCTACATCATTGCTTTCTGTCTTTTTAAGGCAAAATATGTATTTATCTCATTTTAAGTGTAAAAATATTTGAGGATTTCATGCAACGCGAAGACTTTATGATAATCACTCGAGTCAGAAAATTCATTATAGAACATATGGTTACAGAACATACTGGCCTGAAGGTCTGATTTTCTGTGACTGAACCAATATACACTTTTGAAACTTAAAGTGAAATAGGTATATGTCTAATGGTTCCACACACAAGCGCGATATTAGTCGCACGCGACACGCGATATCAATGACAGTATATCTTTAGAATGAATATCGGTAAAGCTGTACACTCATTGGATATCGCGTGTCGCGCACGACAAACATTGCGCTGGTGCACCGGAGGCATGATGCAGGAATAGAAAACAGACCACTAGTTTACATCGTACATTTGATACTAATTAGTAACTTTCTATTAAATTATTTTAATTTCAGTAATGTATTTAAAGAATCATGTACTAAATCGGTACAATATTTAATATATCATAATGATTAATTAAATACATATATTGGGTCATCTAAAAAGTATCCGCGGTACTTTGTCACTAGATATATGACCATCAACACACATCTAGTGACAAAAAACCGCGGATACTTTTTAGATAACCCAATATTATGTATATCATATTTCAACATATCGCCGAAATTATGATCATTAATAGAAAGTTACTAGTTAATACCCGTATCTAGAGTCCTAGATTTATAAAACAAGCGCGACTGTTGTTAAGTGATCTGATTGGTCATTGCAATCACATGTTTAGCAACAAATGATGGCTTAGGGATTCTGCACAATAAAGGGAACAGAAAACAGAATAAGAATTTCAACCTCTCAGAAATCATATATTGTGGAATACACAGCTTCTGATAGATTAAAATCCTTATACTCTGTTTTTTTTTATTGTGCGGAGTCCCTTATTTCTGCATACTAAAAATGGCTGCTTAATGGATGATTGATGGATTTCATAGTCCGTCTTGCAAACAATCATTTTTAGTATTTCTTCCAGTACTTTTTAGTATTTTTGCGGGTATAATTATACAGTTTAGCACAACCACCTCAAAAATCAATAAAATTAGGCTTATTCGACGCGTTCTTGCATGAAATGAAAGAATCTGGCAGAAAAAGTGTTGCTCTGCCCCGTGAACCGAGATATTAAGTTTATTAAGAGCATTAAAATTGACAACTATTGAGGTTAAAAAATCTGTTACATAGACAAAATAAGGATAATAATTCTTCAGAGCTACCTCTGATTTCGATGAAATTAGGCTTATTCGACGCATGCAGAAACGAAAGGAAGCAAAAAAAAGCATCGTTCTGCCCTGTGAGCTGAGATATAAAAATTGAAATGTTATTACTCGATCATTAATCTGTCATATAGACAATAAATGTATAAATTAGTGCTTATTGTTCAGGGAGAGGCGGCTTCGAATAAAAAAAATACCTTTCCTACACGCTTGGGGCCTTAAACAATAATTCTGATAAATGGTAATAAACCTAAAAAATAAGAGATATATGTTAGAGAAAAATATCTGTTCCATCAACTATCATTAACATCAATATGTTAGAATTTTTCACGCACCTACGTAATTGTTACATACACTCGCATTATATTGAATTTAATATATTAAGTGAGAAATTATAATACTGATGTTATTTTTGATGTTTACGGAAGTTACATTATAAAACATTTCTATGCACACTTTAGTACCAACCTCACATAGTAAAGCTAATTTTAAAGGTTTCCAATTAGGAATTCCTACAGCATCAATCCATTTTTGTTTCCAATTTGGATCTTGGGCAAATGTTGTGCAGCAACATCCTTCTTTATTAGAGTTGCATCTTGGAGCACTGCATCTGGCAGGCATTTTATAGTATGTACAAATCCTGTTCAGATATCTGGAATGTAAAAATTTGTAGTTTTATTTCACGTATATATGTACAATAGAGGAAGGTATACTTCCAAGATTAATAATATGTATTACTTACAAAAACCTTATCAATTGTAAAATTGAGGAGAAAATTGCAGCACAAGCGTACGGCTTTTATATCATCTAACCTAAATGGCATATCCTCATCATGGCTCTACGAAGTTTGTTTACCAAGTCCAATCAGAGGAGATCGGGTCACGTGATGCAATTTGCTACTCTCTCCCTGTGAGGCTCTTTACCTTTAATGGACGATGAAGAACTGCGGTCAGCAGACTCAACAATTAAGTGAGCGTTCACTCCTATTGATGTATTCTTCTAGATCTAAAATCTGGTTGGACGATCTAAAAGAATATACCAATAACAGCAAGCGTTCACTCAACTGTTGAGTTTACTGATCAATAGATGCACTCAAAACTACAATCGCTCACTGAGCTCTTGTATCTAATTGGTGTATATTTTTAGATTTGGAATATGCCAATCAGATGCAAGCGCTCACTGAGCGCTCATTGAGTGGTTGTAATACTGAATGCACCCAATGATACAACTAATAGCGTTTCCCCGAACACAGTTTACACTATAGTATTTCTATAGTTTTTTCGTGTGCGATACTTTTGAAGAATAAGGGTCCAGGAACCCTATTTTTGAAAAATATTGCATACGAAAAACTAGAAAAGTACTAGAGTATACGTAACATAAACTGTAATATTTCCCTAGATTAGTGTTGATGGTCATACATCTAGTGACAAAGTACCGCGGATACTTTTTAGATGACCCATATATTGTATATTATACAATAGCATTTCTCTAGTTTTTCGTATGCAATACTTTTCAAGAATAAGGGTGCCGTTCTATGAGGAAATTTACAATAGAACGGGTACAACAGAACTTCTATTCTTGAAAAGTATTGCATACGAAAAGCTAGAGAAATGTTACAATATATGTAACGCAATCTATAGTATATCCCTAGTTTTTCGCATACTTTTCAAGAATAGGATTCCAGATGATTCGTTTCATTTCGTTGTGTGCATGTCGAATGAAACCAAATTTTATCGGTTTCTGAGGTGATTTGGTTAAAGAAAACAATTACTGAAAATTTTAAAGAAGTTTGATTATTTTTTTTCAATTAATATTATTTTGAAGCAATAGATAATTGATAAATAAGATTTACCAATTAGGTTAAGTGAAGTATAGTTTTGAAGGAGGAAAGAACGGTTCTTAAACATTATGTTTCTTAAACGTTACGTTTCTTAAAAGTTATATATATATATATATATATATACATATATATATATATTGCTAAATTGATAAATTGCAATTTAAATACAATGGCTAGATTTAAGAAATGCACAGAAAAAGATATATCTGTATTACTTGAAACAAGTTCTGACTCAATTGTTGAAGAATTGGATAAATCCTATGTTCCAAAAAAGAGTAGAGATTCTTTTGACCTTTCCGATTCTGACAATATCTTTGAGAATAATAAACTTTTCTTATTACAAACTAATGCATTACAAAAGGAGCAAGCTTCTTTACGTCTGAAGTTAAGACGCTCTACAGAACAAAGTATGTATAAGATAGATACTGAATCAGAAGATGAAAAATCTAAGAGATTAACTAGAAATACAAAACGTCACTTGAAAAGTTTGCATAATGAAAATCAAATGTCACGTAAGGATGCAAGAATTAGAAAATTACCTAAAAGATATTCAGATTATAAGTGTTCTTTTAAATCACAAGTATCTGTTTTACAGAGAGATCAGATTAATTACAATAAAAAGAAACTATTGTTAGATTCATTTGATACTATTAATATAAGAAAAAAAGAAACTAATAAGCATGTAGTCAAAAGTGATGATTCAGATTGCATTTGTATTGATTTTATTCCAAAAACATCATCTACAAAATCAAGATCAAAACTTAATAAACAAAATCACATTTATTCTATAGAAGATATCAATAATACTACTCCCAAAGTTCATAGAACTAGATCAAAATATACATTTCTCTCTGTAGATGAAGAATTAAAAAAAGTATCACCTAATAACAAAACATATCTTGAAATAGATGCAAGACAAAATATTTCATTTGAAGATACGCCTAAAACATCAAGAATTCAGAAGAATACTCGTAAATCTATTTTAAATATATCTAATCAATATGAATCAATACACAAAGGTGAGAATAAGACTGATAAGGTAGAAGTTATACACAAAGTTGGTAAAAATTTATCTATAAAAACTAATCAAAGAAACGAAGCTATTGATACCTTAGTGGTACAAAATGATTTAAGTACTCCAAAAATGAATGTATTGAAGCAGAGTACTTTGAAACCATCTATGAAAATGAGAGCTGATATCCTAGCTAAACCAGTTACACCATTGCAAGAAATCAGAACTAAGTTGCATGTCAGTGCAGTGCCTAAGTCATTACCTTGCAGAGAAGAAGAGTTTAATAATATTTATACATTTCTAGAAAGCAAATTAATGGATAATAGTGGAGGGTAAGTTTATCTAAACATTCCTTAATATTTATTGGCATTTATTTCTTTTTAGTATACTAAAATTTATACATATTGCAGAAGTATTTATATAAATGGTGTCCCAGGTACAGGAAAGACTGCTACTGTAAATGAGATTGTGAAATGTCTAAAGAGATCAGTCGAAAAAGGTAAATTAAATCGTTTCGATTTTGTTGAGATTAATGGTATGAAATTATCCGAGCCCCGGCAAGCCTATGTACAAATTTTAAAGCAATTATCTGGAAAAGTTTCAACATGGGAACAAGCATATAATATGTTAGAAAAAAAATTTAATAGCAGTGCTAAAAGGCCAATGACATTGCTACTTGTAGATGAGGTATATGTATACATGTATCTTATTCTTAATAACTTTATACATGTCTTTATATACATACATATCTGTATTCTTTATATATCATTTTTTATATACATTTTTACTTTTCTATTATCTATTATTTTCGAGGGGTTGGTCACAGAGTGATTGTAATGTACAAAAATCACCCAGAATACTAATTACCTTTAAATTACCTCGGATTACTTAAGATCTAATATTCTCAAATTATTCCAGATTATCAAATATTATCTTATATGAGAGAGAGAGAGAGAGAGAGAGAGAGAGAGAGAGAATCTAGAGAGAATATTAGAAAGAGAGTCCAAGATTATCTTAGAATATTTAAAATTACGTCATATTTTCTGAGATTACCTGAGATTTTTTCAAATTTACTTTGCTTATTTAAGATTACCTTATACAAGTACATAAATATTATTTCTTCATATCATTTTAAAATATCTTTATAGACCACTATAATGATAAGTATCTTTGAGAATATTGATTTTATATTTTCACCGCTTAAGAAAAAAAAATGCAATTTTACAAAACAAATATTTATTGCATACAAGAATACAAAAATTTCGCAAACAATATGTATTACATATTCAGATTTTATAGATAGTAAGTTCGACTACTCGTAACGTTTAAGATTTTTTAATAAAACAATAATTGAATAAAGTAATTGAATAAAATAAATATTAATAGATATTTTATAAAATAAAAAAATATTTAAAAAGAAACATCAATAGTAACACAGACTCTTTGTTAAATGATATCACAACTTAATATTAAATTAAAAATTTTGCGACTAATCAAGTTAAGTATATATAAAAAGGTATCTGAGAACGGTAAAGATTATTTAGATTTATCAAAACTTATCTTGGATTACTCAAAATTACATTTGAATTGCTGAAAATTACGCTGAATTACCTAGCCCTTGTACATAAATTACCTCAGTAACCTACCCCCCTGATTATTTTGTTGTTTTTTAAATTATATTAATTTTTATTTATTATTTTATCTTTATTATCTTATTTGTTTGATTTACATTTTTATTATCTTTATTTAAAACAATAATAAGTAAAAGGACTCCTCAAATTTAAAATATTGTCTTTATTTAAATTTCTAGCTTGATTTATTATGTACAAAACGACAGGACGTAATATATAATCTTTTGGACTGGCCTACAAAAGCTTCTGCTCGATTAGTAGTCATTACTATTGCTAATACTATGGATCTTCCAGAAAGAGTTTTAATGGGTAAAGTGACGTCGCGATTAGGTCTTACTCGAGTAACTTTCGAACCATACAATTATAAACAATTGTATGAGATAATATTAATCAGACTTAAAAACACAGACATTTTTGAAAATGAAATTATACAATTAATTGCACGGTAAGCATTATTTAAAACAATATTTTAAGCATGGTTTAGCCTTTTTATTTAAATTTTTATAATTTAAATATTGAACTAATAATACGTATATATATTCTTTAAATGAATGTATTTTAGCAATATGATTGCGCGCCGTTACTATCGGACTTTTAACACAATTCATCTGAAATTAATAATTCTAATTAATAATTCTAATTATATTAAATATAATTAATAAATATAAGTAATAATAAATATAAGTAATTCTCCAAATTTAATTACATACATCTTACAACCTGTAAAAAACTTTGCAAAAATCTTATCTCAGTAGTCGAATCCTGATCTCTAACATTCTGTTCCCAAGCCTTTAGATTGAGACTTTTGCATAACATATAAAACATAAGAAATTCAACCAAAGTTCTTTATTTCATGAAAATGGGGATCTAACAAGAGCTTTTCAAAACACTATAATAAAGTTACGTTTCATTGAATACTTTTCGAGTTATGGAGCTTGAAAGTTACAGTATCGCCGGTGTTATGTGCACATGCACGTGTGAACGGGATTCTTACGATGATGGCGACGGGAGTAGATAACTGTGGCTCTCTCTCTCTCTCTCTCTCTCTCTCTCTCTCTCTCTCTCTCTCTCTCTCTCTTTCATTTTCTCTCTTTTTCCTTCCTCTTTCTATCTCCTTTTTGCCTCCACTGTTCACTGAGGTTGTGTAGAATGGTCAAACTCGTTGATCAAACAGTCATTACGACAAATATTAATTATATCTTGACGACGCCATCAGATACTCCGCAAATTAGCACGATACTATCGAATCATTGGATATTCATATCCAAATAAACGTGCACACTTCCTTCCTTCCTTCCCTCTCTCCCTTTCTCTCTCTCTCCCGCTCTCTCTCTCTCTCTCTCTCTCTCTCTCTCTCTCTCTCTCTCTCTCTCTCTCTCTCTCTCTCTCTCTCTCTCTCTCTCTCTCGTCTCCTATCTTGTAGAAATGTCTTCATACTGCAGCAGTGGTGCCAGAAATGAGACAAGAGTCAAAAAATTCGAAATATGTCACTATACGCATACAATTGACGAAGCATATCCGTGAGCACTCGTAGCTTCGGGCAACTTCGGTCGCACTCGGTCACTCGCCACAATTGACGAAGTATGTCCGTGGGCTTGAAGCTTCGGGCTGAGAGCTTCAGAGAGTGATTTTGCTTCGCGCCTCGCGCTCCTCATCGTACTGAGATAATTTTAATATGATTTTTTTTTCGCAATATATGATTCTTATAATTATTCTGCATCTATGTAATAATATTTAGATAGTTATCGAAAAATCAATAGTTTAGCAGATATTTAATACTTTATATTATTACTAGCACATATTTTGCAATATAATATTAAATATCTCGTAAATTACTAATTTTTTAATAATATTATAGTACTTTAATATTTTTATGAATAGAATAATGAAATGAATCAATTGGAAAAAAATCATAATTGCTTATTTAAAAAAGTATCCATTTGATGTGTGTATTTGTTATATTTGATGTGATTTATATTATTTTTAAAGCAATTGTATTTTCTTTATATCAATTGATTCATCTCATTATCCTATTCATAAAAGTATTAGGATACGATTATCAAAAAATTAATACAAGATACTTAACATTTTATGTCAAAATGTGTGCTAATATAAAGTATAAAATATCTCTCTCTCTCTCTCTCTCTCTCTCTCTCTCTCTCTCTCTCTCTCTCTCTTAAATTGTAATTGATTTTTTCATAAGTTTACTTTAATACTGCTATATGCAGAATAATTAATAGATCATATTGTAAAAAAAAAATAATATAATTCCATTTAAAAAATGGAGATGCGTACTCGGATGTGGACTCGGTAATCTAAAGAAAAGATCTCGGTAGTCTAAAGACTTTTAAGACACTAGCACGGAATGCTAGAGGGTTCGACTCCTGGACGAGGTAATATTTTTCCCAATTAGTTCTTTACAGATTTTAAGATGTATATAATTAAATATGGATGGATTATTAATATTTCAGATAGATTGTGTTGAAAGTCTGATAATAATGGCGTGCAATCATATTTTTCATATACATTCATTTAAAAAATTCATGTATGTATTAGTTTAACATCTAACTTTGACCGTTGAGTGGCGTTTCTCGTACTTAGGTGATGTAAGTCACATAAACGGTCTTGTTTCCAATCTTATTACTATTTCTTTATTTAAATACTCGACATCGATATATTTTATATGTGTATCTATATTTTTATTGATGCATAACTTTATTATTACAAAATATTCTTAAAATACTGAACTCATTTTTATTATTCTATGAATTATACTCATTTTTTATAATAGTTAATTTTTATAATGAAATTAATAAAGTTTGATTAAATATTGTAAGCGTATCTTATATTTTGTATTCTAGTAAAGTATCTGCAGTATCAGGCGATGCTCGCCGCGCTTTGGACATTTGTCGTCGAGTGGCAGAAATTACTGAAACACGCAATAATACTACAGTAAGCGTACAAGATGTAAATGAAGCTTTATCGGAGATGATAATAAATCCAAAAGTTCAAGCGATAAAACATTGCTCAAAATTCGAGCAAATATTTTTGCAAGCCGTTTGTGTAGAAGTTAAACGAATTGGCGTGGAAGAAGTTTGTTTTATGAATGTTTATAGACAATTTGAATCTTTGTGCTCCTTTGATGGTTTGTACAAAAAGAATTTATTAGTAAGAGAATGTGTGAAAAAAGAATTATACCATTGCAATTTTTGCTTTTAGGTTACAAAACACCTAATATTACTCAAACTCTTGATATTTGCGCAAAACTGGGCGATTATAGATTGCTAATATGCGAATATGCAAGTAACGATATACATAAAAAACTTCTATTAAACATATCAAAGGATGAGTTGCATTATGCGCTACAAAAAATTAATTTTGATTAAAAATATGCAAAATATGTCTATAATTTATTATTATTAATTTTTGTTCTTAATTTTATTTATTATGCAAAACAATGTAGTGCGCGTTTTTTTATGAATTACAATTTACTCATTTCTAGTTCATATAAATATATATATTTTTGTCATAAAAAAATTTATTAAAATATGAATACAGTTTCTAATGATTTTATTTTCTATCATGTCTTGTTGCAGGAAAATCGTATTTATTGAAAGAATATGTTCAAAAATATATAGGATGTTTCTTAAAAAACGAAAATTTGCGAAATGATTCATAAATTTTAGACTTAGTTTTTGATCAATGAATAGCGCTATATGATTCGTAGGTATTTTTAATTTTAAGGTGCACTGTGTATTTTTGAACATAGACTGTTTAAAATTGACGCATGAGAAAACTTCAAGAAATTTTTAAGAATTCATCTTTAAGATATTTCATAAAGAACATCAGCGAATAACGCTATATTCGTGGGCACTTTTTAAGATATGCTCTGTATATGGTCAGTTATACTGTACATAAAAGAGTCAATCTATTATTAGAAAAATTACATAACCCAAGTTCACGGATGTTCATTCATTAATCTATTGAATAACAATATTTTGTTTCAAATATTCTGCGAAAATTTTATTTTTTAAATCTTAGTAAATTAGTGAAGGATAGTGAATTGTTAATATTTGTAATACATAAAAAGAAAAAAAAAGATAGAAAGAAATCTAAAAATAAGTAGTACGTATTTAGATACATGTATAGGGATATTATCCAATACTGATCTTAAGGTGCATTTTCATGAGCTGCTTAAACTGGCCATTTTAGCGACAAAAAAAATTACGTCATAACTTTTGTCGCAAAACTATTAGAGCGACAATTTTATACACGAAAAAGGGCAAGAAGTTAAATTTGACATTTGAGCGGCTAATTCGATATGTTGCTTGTATTTTTCATGTATCATTTACAATATTAATACGCTGAATTAAATTATTCTGATTGCATCGAATCCTCTATCTGGATCAGCAATAAAAAAAAAGATAAGGTTATGTTTATCACAGTCAACAGTGGTCAACACAGTCAATACAGTATATCAGCACTGTCAGCGTTTGAGCTTGTAATTGAAACTGTTCAAACTACAAAATTTCAACTGGATAACGAGCGATAAATTTGTCGTTCCAATTGCTTATTTTAGCAGCATATGAAAATGTCCTTTTAGTCTATGCTTATTATGAGCAAGCTGTGTTTATGAATCATGTCAAGACCGTTCAAGACGTTTTAAAATAAAATCGTCTTCGATAAGTTTTAATTTGAGATTTTAAGGCCATTCTACATTCGTCATATCGTAGCGTCGGAAGCGTCGTAATGGCTGCCGCACACAAAATTTCTGTAACAGTGATCTTAAGCCGATGAGCCAATTAGGATATTGCTTTAACTCTACGTACTCTAATGGAAATATTGTAAAAACAGTAAACTTATCCATAAGACGACTTTCAATCAGTTGAAATTTATCTTTATTGCGAGGTTATGGATAAGTTTACTGTTATTTCCATTTCTGTTAGATTACGTAATCTAAAGCAGTATCCTGATTGGCGTATCGGCTTCAATTTAAATCTTATGCATACTGTCACGGAATTTTGTGTCTTGCAGCCCTAAGGCTGTTCTACAATACGTCATATGTCGACGTCGGATGTCGAAGGCTTAGTCTATAATCAGTCAAGAGACGTTGTTGTACGTCTCAAAAATTAACCAATCATCGATTGTTTCTTCATAGCCGACAATCGAATACGCATGCGTTTGACATCGACGTATTGTAGAACAAGCCAAATGCATGCGTATTTGGTTGTCGGCTGTCGCATGGAAAGGAATAATCGACCATGATTGGTTAATTTCTTATGGCACGACATACAACAACGTCTTCCGGCTGATTGTAGACTAGGCCTAAGTATCATGCGATTTTAAAATTGAAGTATCGGATTGGCTAAAGCAACAAGTTTGTGACTTGCAACGTCTACAATATGACCAATGTAGAATGGTCTTTACTCAAGTACCATCTTATTTTTCGACTATGAATAGCTACATTCAGTAATGCAAATCTAAAGCGTCGGAGTACTCTTATATTAACATAACATATGTCATGTGCATTGTAGAAAAAGAGCACTCCGACGCCTCAGATTTGCATTGCCGAACGCAGCTAATCTAAAGGACATTTTAAGACCATACTTAAAACGGTCTTGAATAAAGCGGGAAGTACAGACTCTTGCATAACGCACATAAGAGTATATCTACATAAACTTGCATAAACGTATGCATAAAGAAAATTATCCAATCGCATTTCTCTTATAAAGTCGCACGTAAAATGCGACTATGCAAGTTTATATGGATATATCTTAATGCATGAGAAAATATACCAATTGAAGTCCTTCCTTTCCTATCTTTCTATGAAATAAAGAACTCTGATTGGTTCAATTTCTTATGCTTCATGTGTTATGCAAGAGTCTATGCTCCTTGCTTAAAAACAGACTATAAATACCAATGTGTAACGGCCCTGATGGCCATAATATGGATAGTGCCGATCCATATATTGTACATGGAATCGGAACGACGGAACGCATTTCTTACTAGAAAATTGAGTTCACTACAATTACATTCGGTAAAAAATTTCTCGTCTCATGTATGGAACGGATGGAATGTCGCAAATTAATTTGCTTAATTTAATCGATATTTCGTTATTTTAATCCGACTAAACCAGTAATATGCATAATTTGTGCATTTATCTTACCTATAACATTATTTTGAATACTCAAAAATACTAAATTATAAGAGTAACATATATTTTGTTACTAAAATTCTATTGCGTTCCGGCTATATGAGACAGATAGAGAAAACTTTTTTTACGGAACGGAATGTTCAGCTAAGTTGGTTGAATCTAAAAATTGAAACGAATATTCAAAACCTTTTTTTGTAAATTTACAATGGATGAAGAAGTAGTGTTATTACTATTGTTAAAATTATTGCGAAAGGCAAGAAATGTTGGCGTGCTATTCTGATATTCAAGAGTGTGAAAATTTTATTTCGTTTATAACGTTTTATTGCTGTTTTATAACAGCAGAAATAGAATATACAAGAAAACGAAAATTCTGGATACAGTCAATATTTACACAAAGAATGAGGCGGCGCACCAAGGCGCAAGTAACAATTTAGTTCTTGAAATGCAAACGTGAGAAATTCTTCAATTAATTCAAAATGACATCGGAATTATTCAAAGAATTGTTGGCATTATAGTTAGACTATGTATATATAAAACAAGAATATGTTGTATTGAAAAATAAGAATTATTATCAATTTTCTTCTTTGAAGTTGTCAAATTCTCAACCAAACAATAGTCGAATCGACATAACCTGCAATCAACATGACATTCTATTGATTCCGTATCGTTTCGGCCATGATTCCGGTGGTTCCGAAGAGAAACAAACAGTAGAGAAACTTCTTACGGAACGGAATGCTAGTGAACTGATTTCTAGTAAAAAATCTGTTCCGTCGTTTCAATTCCGTGTACATAGAACGGCATCCGGACTCTTGCATGACGCATAAAGCTTTTCATACTTTTTCAGTTGACGTGTGTCAAGACAATTTTGTGACGTTATGTTAGTTTCAGTGTTAACGCTCAGAAATTCAGATTTTTCAACTTTTAAGCGTCGCGCGCGAAAGAACTATTTTTTAAAAAGAAGCGAAATAGATTCATTAGATGTACTTAGTAAATTAGTCAATTATATTAGGTGTTGGAATTAATTCGTAGCGTTTTTAATGAAAGAATGTTATTTATTTCACATGAGCATTAAAAAATACATTAATGAAAGTACTTCCCATCACTTGTAAAACGCTACGAATTAATTCCAACAACTAATATATTATAGTAAAATTATTTATACATCTTCAATATACAATAAATGTATTAAAGAAATAAATTTAATTTCAGCAGGTTTTAATAAATACTTGTGCGAGTTTGCGAAATTATCGTAAATGAGGCTGAGATAGTTAATCACAATTGCGTGGCAGAGTATCCAAATATTCTTGTGGATAGTAATTCAAGATATTTATATATATATATCTACTATTTGGTAAGAGTTCATTCAATTAAAAATATTGATTTTATAAAACTCTTGATTTTAACGTTAAAACTATATATTGAATAAAATTTTTTGAATAGAATTTCTTAATTTTATAATGTTTGCACATTGTATCATTCACTAGTAATATTTTATTAATGATGAACACATTTTTTCGAAAATTGCAACAATTAAATATTGCGAATATAATCTATTTCTCCATGCGAATTACAAAATATTAATGAAACCTTTTTCATTCGCGCGTCAAAATATCAGCGTCATTTATAATAATTTAACTTTATCCTTATCTGATTTTGAGCGTCAAATAACGCTTATAAAAAAGCTTAAGGCTGCTTTGTCATGCTGACGCTCGATGCTCGAATCGGGGGATGAGTGTCAGCATGAAAATGCAGCCTTAAGCTTTTAATACATAGTGCATAATGGCGCGATCCCATGTACGGAACGTATGTGCAACGCGAAATTGGCGGAACGTTCATGATTGGCTCGACCTGTTTTATGTTCGTTCTGTCGATTTTTATACGCATGCAATGTACGGAATTGCCAGAATTGTGAGAATTTGTGCGAAGAAGACAAAGGGCTGATCTCACCAAGTAAGTTAATCGGTCGATTAAATTTCACATTAAAACAAACATATACAAAAAGTCGGAAACGCGAGGTTCACGATAGATTTACTTATATTTAAATGATTAGGTAATATTGTTAATTTTAATTAACAAATTTAACCCTTAAATGTCACTGGGGATCCAAAAGACCTCAAGGCTTTTTCAATCGTATATATATTTTATAATCCCGCTATAAATCGAATTTCTGGTTTCATTTACCGATAGTTTAGATCTCCAACTAGTTGAAAAATTCGCGGCAAGTCGGCTGTATAGCAGTCGAACAGAAACGACATTTCGAGGCGGGGTACAAAATAGTGTGTCATTTACGTTGTGCAAAGTGAAAATCGAAGCGATTTTTTTATTCACGTTTTTGCATAAATTTCATCATTTTGAATTGTAAATATTATTGTGCACACTATAAAATTTTTTTAGTATTGTAATTATAACTTTTTGATGACTAATTAGCTGGAACATAATTTGTAGGAATGCACTCCGGGTTATAAAATTATTGGATATTGGACAGAATATAACATCAGATATCCGGTATCCATGCGAATATTTGAGAAGGCGATTTCTTCGCGTTGGATATCCAACATTTTCCGAATACTCGACCGGATTTGGAGAAAGTGGCTTGCAAAAACTTTTAGAGAATAAGATTGTGATTTTGCAACAATGTATAATATATTACAGATATGAATACTTGTTTGTAGAATATTTGTATAAGAAAGAAAAAAATCAACAATTTAATGATATCAAATTATTCTCGTATACTAATAATATCTGGCTATCCGATTAGATAGTAAAAAAGTGCCAGATAATATTAGATATCTGATACTTCCCGGATATCCAGTTCATCCCTAATAATTTGCCTTCGTGCCATGGAAGGCAATAATTTGCCTTCGTTGCTATGTAGTTTACATTCACTTTGTCAGAGGGCAGTAGTACGCGGCAGCATGTTTTGTGGTTATAGGTTTTGGACCGTCCTTTCTCAAGTTTCTCTCTAGCTGCAGATCCCTTCCACCATGTTATCTCTTCTATCATGATCTGACCCAATCCGACCGCAACGGACGCTGATGGAGCGAAAGTATCGTTCAACTATAATTTGCTGTTTATTACAAATTGCGAAATATATGTTTAGCTGGCTTAGGGATTATATTTATTTTGTTGAGTATGGATTACAATGATGAGCAGATCAATGAGATTGAAGCGTTGGAGTCGATTTATTGCGGCGAATTGGAGAGTACGTGTTATTAAAATTCTAACCTATAATCCAATGTCAAAATATGACTCTATGCAGTCAAGTAATATATACTGTTGATCAGTAGTATTGAATCATTAACAAGATTTTTAGTATTTTTACAACCTTACACGATCAGTATTATTGACAATATATTTCACTTTAGTTTTACATACATTGGTTATTTTCCAGCTAGGATACAGAGATGTTACACTGTATTCCACTGTGTAATGCTCAGTTTATGCTTCGGTTTAATTTTAGTCTTAAGAATTAGTCCTAACTTAATCTTAAGGATTAAAATTAAAAGATAGAAATTTTTTTTGAGACTAAGATTAAGACTACAGTTAAGACACTGGAAAACATAATTGACCTTATGACATTCTTTGTTGTCAACTTTTAAGATTAAGACCGAAGCAGGCATAAGATATTTGTTGAAACGCAGTTTAATTTCATGGTGTAACACCAGGATGCATTATAGTCTTCCATTCGTATTCTTATAATTATATTTAGCGTATCAATAATAGATTTATAATTTTTATTTAGATTTTAGTTATAATTTTTTCAGAATTGATGATTGTGAAGGTTTTATTGCAAAATAAGTATGGCTACCAAATAACTTTTTGAAAAGTTGGTAACATTGATATATTTTATAAGCTTATACTTAGCTTTTTACAGTGTGTCGAGCAGTGTAACACTGTGTCCTATATATGATATATATATAGGACATATATATATATATATATATATATAATATATATATATATAGTTGGAACACTTTGTGTAAGACACAGAGTGCTTTCCAGCAAGGACACAATCTGACATTATGTAACACAGTAAATCGTTTTATCCTTGTTTAACGTAGGCAAACAACAAGGATATAATGATTCACTGTATTACACTGTGACTGACTGTGTCCTTGACACAGTGCTGGAAAGCACCCACAGTGTTACACTGAGTGTGTATGTGTTGGAAAACACCCATTATCTATTTCACTGTGACATATATGTGTGTGTATATATTATATATATATTTTTTTTTATGACATTTGAAGCCTGTTCTTTTTGACTGAATTTTTGCACCAGTTCATCTTTCTTCCTTTTCTTTCCAGGAGGAAAGAAGAGGAAGAAACATGAACTGGTGTAAAAGTTAAGCCAAAAAGAACAGGCCTATGGTGAATCTGATCACTTGTACTATATTAGATCAGTGCATATTAAAAGCTGCTTTATATAAAATATCTCAATGCAGTGGTATAATATAATCAACTTTGACAATAAATTAATACATATATATTATACATATACAGTTATTTGTTAAATAACGTAACAATATCATTAGTAGATAGTTAAGCGTTTAAAATATTTATATATACTTTTACATTTAATTTTGCTAATTTCATATAAAGCAGCTTTTAATATGCACTGATCTAGCATAGTGCAAGTGACCGAATTCACTAATAGATCTTAATAAAGCAATACTGATACTCGAAAAAAAAATTCAGATCATTATCAGTATTTTACGTCAATCCATCAATATTAATCACACGATCAGTAACATTGTCAGTATTTATTAATCCTTAATACACACCTTTGGGTCATATGTCCTGTGCATTTATTTTTTCTGAAATATTAAGAGCACTTACTTAAATACCAGTCTCTTTTCTATTCCTAAAAAGAGTTTGGCATCTAGAGAATAAGTTTTGTGCATTTTCGGCCTCAACATGCGTATTCTTTAACTAGAGTAAGTCCGAAGTTCATCTCTGGACCACAAATGACCCATCATGTGTATAGAGTGTACATTTTTGTAAAATTTTTTTTTTCTTTTTCTACTAATTCTCGTTTGTATTGCAGGAATATTTCGTTAATGATTAAAAAAAGAATTTAATTCTAGAACAACATATTAGCCCTTAATAAACACAATGGTTTTTAGCACTCTTGTGTTAAATGTCTAATATTATAATATATATTATATTGTCTATAATGTTATAAAGAACATTTTCCTAATAAATTATAATATTTTTTTAACACAATAGTAATAATAAAATGCATTGTTTAAAATATAAATGCAATATACCTTCAATTTATAGCCATTCATGTATATTAAAAAAACATCATTTTCAGATTACTGAATAACTAAATTTTTTTGACAGTTGAAACTTGAACTATTTTTGCTTTTGTAGTTTGGAATATCAACTTTAAGATATTGAAACATATTTTCTCTTTTAAACATTTTTATTTCAGAATTTTATATTTTTGTATAAAAAAGTACATTTTTCTCATTTTGTTAACTATATTTAGTTATAATAATTTATATACAATTTGTTATAAATATACAACTTTACAAATATTTTCTAAAGAAAGTTATGTCAAAATATGCATAAAAATCGTTTAATAATTTTTCTATACTTGTAAAAGTGGAAATTAATCCTGAACACGAATGACTGAACATGTGTAGTAAGGATGCCTAAAACTGGGTATGCATTAAAGGTTAATATTGACAGTATTATTGACCGTGTAGAGTCACCTTAAGGCAGGTGATATTTATAAACTATATAATGATAATACTGAATTTTATAATGAATTATTATTTGCCATAAATAATATAAGTGTATATACATTATACAGTTTTAGCGACGGAACCGTTTTATACATTTGCTATACCAATTAAAACAGAAGAATATGAACCAGAAACTGGCAACGGTCTCAGTTGTCGATTAGAATTTACATATACAGCCAAATATCCAGATGAGCCACTGCTTATATCAATTACGGAGCAAGAAAATTTTGAGGATGGCGACGAGAAATTGAAGGCACACCTGATAGAACAAATGAATGAAAATCTTGGAATGGTAATGGTTTTTACGTTAGTTAGTACAGCTCAAGAATGGCTTAATGTACAATGGGATAAAATAAAACTCAAGAGAGAAGAGAATGCTGCACTAAAGCTGAAAGAAGAAGAAGAAGCAGAAAGGGTAAAATGTTCTAAATAGATCTATATAAATGATAATTTTAATTTTTTTTTTTCATATATAGAAACGATTTGAGGGAACTCGTGTAACAGTGGAATCTTTTCTAAATTGGAAAGAAATGTTTGATGAAGAAATGGGCTATACAAAACGGAAAGAATTGACAGATCGTGAGGGCAAAAAATTAACAGGCAGAGAATTATTTATGACTGATAAGACACTGGATCAATCAGATCTTAAATTTTTAGATGATGGTAATTTTTTTTTATATAATTATTTGACTTTCATTCTAAAAGATACTGATGTCATGTTATGCAATTTTAATCAAATAGGTGATGCTGTTAAAGTAGATGAGAGTTTGTTCCAAAATCTGGACGACTTAGATTTAGATGATGATGAAGATGATCCAGACTATGATCCAAATATCTCGGATGATAGTGCCTAAACAAGTTTGATTCAATAGCTACCAAAATAATGCATAGATCAAATTAAACAAGAATTTATTAAATCATTAAAAAAGAAAAAGGAAAAATGAGTATGAATATGAACACACACACACACACACACACACGCACACAGGATGTTCTACAATTATTGACAAATCGCTTTTGTGTAGATAGAGCGGATTTAACTGACGATGAATTGAAAAGTATCTATTATTTTACATTTTTCGCATTAGTTAATGAGTTATAAATTTATGAAAATAGTTAAATTTGCCCAGCCTACTGCCAAATGCAAGCGTGCAGCGAGGTAAAACCGTCCAGAGAGTTGGAGAGATGCACGTTCGTTGTCGCTAGACGATGTATGTTTACAAGTGATATTGGTATTAACATGTCTAACGATGACAAACACGCACCTCACTGGGCAAATGGGTGGTCTTATATCGTCATGGTTTGGCAATAGATCGGGCGAATTTGACTATTTTCATAAATTATTACGTTGACCATTGCGAAAATCGTAAAATAGTAGACTTTTCGATTTGGTTTAGTCCGTTCTAACTACATAAGAATCCTTTATCAATACACTTGTAAAACACTACGAATTAATTCCAACACCTAATATATCATATACATACTAAAAAATATTTTAGGATTAGAATTTTTTTGTAAGTTCTTGATATCTAGGACTGTACGTAATAAATAATGGCAGTGATAAATAAATTATTATGGTTGAAATAGAAAATTTATTTTTTTCAATTAATGCTTTATTGAAAGCATTAATAATTCACAAAGCGGAATATTTAAGGAATCAAATAATTTTTATATTTATGTATACATAAATTATGTTCATGTTTTGATTATATTAAAGATAATTATTTATAATACTCTCCCCCTAAAATCTTAATAAAAATATACGACGCGTTTTCACTTAAAATGAAAGAATCTGACAGAGAAACACGGCCTCTTCGTCGGCCTCATGAATCGAGTTATTAAGTTAAAGTTGGATATTTTAAAGGTTAAGATATCTGTTATTCACTGCTAATGCAAAGAATTTGTAAACTTAAAGCAGTGAATTTGTGTAATATTAAAGCAGAATAGCAATTATATATAGCACTATATTGAGTTTGGATGACAGATATTAAAGTCTCCAACTTTAAGAGGCTTCGCGCAGTAAAAGGAACAGAGAACAGAATAAGAATTTCAATCTATCAGAAATCATGTATTGTGGAATATTGTCACGTCTGCAGCAACTTTATTTTGTCCAATGATTATTTTTCGAACATACTCGCCACCGGACCCGAATAATATTGGGCCATCTAAAAAGTATCCGCGGTACTTTGTCACTAGATATATGACCATCAACACATCTAGTGACAAAAAACCGCGGATACTTTTTAGATAACCCAATATATTGTACACGGCCATTTTCTAGAACGCACCTGATGCTTATCCTCATACCAACAGTGGCGCGGTCAATGGAGGGGGACTTTAGGAACGCCTTCAGGTAAACTCAGAAAAGAAGACAGAGTAGCGTCGTATAGATTGGACGTGCGCGAAATTCAGGCTCCTATTCCATTATCCGACCACCCGCCACTCTAAGTTTAAGCACCGCGTGCGAACATAATTTTTTTTTAAGTATTAATTCCATTCCTAATTCTAGAATTAATTATAAAATCCAATTCTATTTCTAATTCTAAACGTAATCATAAGATCTAAATTATAATTCGTAATAATCCAACTTAATTTGGAGATAAGTCTACTTTCGTAAGAATTAATCATTACGCCACTAACCAATGTACTAAAGTGAATCATTGTTAAATATATACTTAATTAACTTTAATACAAGTATGAACTTAATGAATATCCCCATTTTCTCGCTAGCTTTAACATTTTCATTATAATCGATCGTTGCTAAACATCGCAAGAGTGAAGAAGCAGCCCATTGGCGTGATCTGAATTGACAATTGGTTCATCTTAAAAGCTGCAGAAGCCTTCCTGACCACTTCTTTCTACTGGCATTCGGAAACATCAGAGAACATTAATCGTCACATCGCAAGGTAAGCAAACCTCTTTCTATATTTCAGTAACTGAAATCTGCCGCCGATGAGTGGCATTCAGCATATGTCCCACACACCCGCGTCGCGTGAATCCACTGACGAATCTATCTCTAGTGGTTACGAATCGAATTCTAGTGGTTAATCCGTACTCTGCGTAATGCATGCCGCATATCTTCATTGTTCTTTTAGTATAGGGAAATGGTAACATTCTGAGTGCTATACTTCCGCGCCGGAAAACGAAAAAAAGGATTATTAAGGGATCTTGCGGCATTACATTCATTTGGGTTAACCTGAACGCTGAATGAACGCTGAATCTTGAATCCTGTAGTGTATGCTCTATATTAACAGTCACTAGACATGCGGTCGCAAATTGTTTCGATTGCCCCGAAGTTTTAGAAGGATTCGTCGGTTGTCTAGAGAGAACGGGAGAGCAACCGTGGAATGATTTGGAATCCACTATAATCAGGATATCCAGAGCACGCCTTTAACCAATCAATTTATTGGACAAGTTCGATCGAGAACCTTCTCGTGAACTCGCGACGCTTGAACTGCCAGTTTTACTTCAACCTTATAATCTAACCTCGAGTTAGTTCGAACCTGTAGGACCGGCCGAACTTCCCTAGGATGTAACAATATACAATTTCTGATAGGTTGAAATTCTTATTCTCTATTTCCTGTTCCTCTTATTAAGTGAAGCCTCTAACGCTTAATAACTCGATTCATAAAGTTGAATTTTGAACCGCAATTTTTTTTTGCTAGTTTAGGTGCGCAACTAAGTTCTCGCTGTTATTTTGATGAAAATGCAACTTTATTGTGAAAAAATGGCTTGGAAATGGCTTGGCGGGTAACTCCTAATACTGAAGCAAGCTCTTCTTGTACTCGGCACGGATTCTCATCGAGCAATGCCTTCAATTCAGCGTCTTCGAAGGTTTTTGGCCTTCCTTCAGGCGGACGGTCGTCAACATCGAAATCACCGTTTGAAGCGACGGAACCAATCTCGGCACGTTGTTTCACTTAGAGCAGCATCTCCGTAAACTTTTTGGAGCTCTCTATGCGCTTCAGCCGCAGTTTCTTCGAATGAAAGAAGAAAATCAATATTTCCCGCATATGACGATTATTTGGTACAAAATCAGACATTTTCACCCAACCAAAAGAATATGACATAAAAACAAAATCACTAATGTTTCAAAGCGGTTTATTTACCATATGTCTAAGATTGGTTTACGACGTTTAGGTTAGGTTAGGTATAGGGGTTAGTACAACTTGCGAAT